ACAAACATTCAGATATAAACATAGAGACACACCCTTAGAAACAAATGCAGACACACACACACACAAACAGACATATGTACACATACCCAATCACACACACAGACAGAGAGATAGAGAGGGTGAAAGAGATACTTAATTACATCATATTGCTTCTCACTTGTCCTCACATTGTTTCTCTAGCTAGAGGAGTCCTTGAACAAAGCCCAGAGTTCCAAGATTCAACAGTTGAATAAAACAGTGCAGGTAAGATGGTAGAGGTAGAGTCTATATCATTTATACAGACTGTTTTCATTTTTGTGTTTAAATTTATAGGAGTGGCTGGCCAAGTTTTTGAAGTGCTGAGTTTTCATTTACAAGACCCGCATTTGAACCTCGGCGTTGGTGGCTCATATGTAGGCATCGCGGAACTGCAGCACCTCTTTTTTTTTGTCACCCAAAATTATGAGCTTTAACGGCTTAAATTTAAGCATTAAATAGAATTCATTCCGCGGGGTATTTAAAAAAAAGCCACAATGTTTCCACTGGTTTATCATACATAAACCAAACATTAATGTCAATACTGTGTGGTATTTGTGGTCACGTCTATCTACAACCTTCTGTCTGGTGTACTTTCAGTCAACTCTGACACCGATAATCCTCCATATCACGATGTCAGACTGTCCAGCATCTTTTCTCTCTGTCTCCCTCTGCCTTAGACCAATCAGTGCTTAATGGGTGATGATTTGTGAAGCATGTCAGCTGCCATTACTTTCCTCAATATTTCCTGGTAATTGTTTTCGCACTGGTGGACCTGGGAGCCATGGTGCATTTCGGAAACTTCCTCGATGGTGTTTCTTTTTCTTCTTCATGTTACCCATCTGTAGACTCCTATGGAAAGTTCTGGTTGTTCCTCCATTTCTGGACTTTAGTCTTGTTCCAGATTTTTGCTTGCATATTTGTTTTAAAGATCCAGCTTATTTTTTAAACGAGAATTTTTCCTCACATCTCAGGCAGATGCGCTCTGACTCTGAAGAAAACACCCCTAATTAGTTTTTTTTTCTCTTTTTTTCTTTTCTTTACAGTATGCTTGTTGGAGTGTCAGTGGGTCTATTCTTTTCCCGCTCAAAATGGGGTCAGGGAATCTTGAAATCTCAGACCACACAGTGGCAGGCATGTTAACCATGGCTCTCTGAGGTTTTCTGAACCATTTTACTTGGTTTTTGTTTTTCTAGAAGTAAATGACCCTCTTTATGCCTTTGGCCTATCATGTATATGGTGCTAGACTTGTATAGGCCAGTCAGCACTTATTGGGTCATGTGTTCAACATCATGCTGGTCACCTTTATGTCCCAGTACATTTCCTGGTGCCCATTTTAGCCAAGGTTGACCTGGAAGATCTAGTTCAGTTATAAAAATTCCCTTCAGTAAGAAATTGAACATAAGACTTTTCATTCATAATGTGGGTATCATACCATGGACAAAGAAAAAAAGGTATAATGACATTCTAAAAGATCTGAACATCAAGGAAGATTGCCTAGTAAACAGCATCTTGTCTCAGAAGCTGAAATATTTGGCCGTATCAAGCGCCTCGATGGATTGGACAAAATAATAACAGAAAACCGGGTACCAGTAAAGGGGGCAGAAGATGACCAGCATGAAAATGGGCACAAGGTAAAAATGACATCTTGGGTAGGAAAGTGATAAGGCGGAACAGTTAACAAGAGACTTGAGTTTCTTTCAGGCAAAGTGTGATGAGAGTCATGTTCAGCAAAGGACTTTCTACACGAGAATAAAGGTAGGTGTCTAGATATTGTTCAAGCGTGACTACCATTATTTATGAATAATAATTCCAATTGTATTGAATTTGTGATAACAAAGTTATCTGAATCTGTTGAATTCAGGCAGAGAAAGTTTATGTCCGCAAGTATTGTGAGAGAGATGCAGCAGAGCAGAACTACAAGGAACTCATCCAGCAAGTAACACTTCCAAAAGAAATTGAAAAGGTACAACTGTGTATTGAGTTCTTTTAGTCCCAAGCAACTGTTTATTTAACTCTTTCCATAACCAAGGAGTTCAGCTTAAAAGTAATAGATATGGATGTCTTCTTCTTCTCCTCCTCCTTCTTCTTTCCCACCTTCTTCTTTTCTTCTACGCACATTTTCCCAAGATCTATTACAACTACTACAGTTTACTGTAGGTAGAAAAGTGCACATTTCAGTGCTTGTATTGAATATTTTGATGCTATTGGTAATGTTTATTATTATTTGATATATGATTACAATCATTTATGAAAGGACGGAGACTAGAAGGGCAGAATATTAGACGGGCCTGCGTGCCCAATTCTTAATCCTTTGAAGAAAAAAAAGTTTGTTTATTTGTTCATTTGTTCGTTCCTTCTTAGTGTTCACCAGCTGTGAACTCCTGCTGAAACTTCTGGCTGTTTATCCACTTCTGGTCTTTAGTCTTTTTCCAGAATTTGAGTTTTTCATGCGGGTCTATTTTACAGATCTGGCTTATTTTATTCATGGAAAAAGATGTTCAACAGAAACAACACAAGACAGAAGTAGTTAAATTAATAATTTAGATACGTACAGAAGTTTAATGTCTCTTCTGTCTGTTAAATGAAACAGCAAGAATGTCATATTGTATGTGGAATGACTAAGGAATATTTGGTGAGTTGTTAGTACTAAAAGAGTAAAGTTCAGTAATGAGGGCATACACAAATATTGCACAATTTCCTAACTGGCATATTTCACTGTACCTTGTCAGGTACACATTACAGACTTTATTGAAATATTTAATAAACAATTTATTTAAAAATAAAATAATGTGCAAAAAAAAGCCAGATCTGTGCACACAAAATTCAGGTTCTGGAGTAAGACTAAAATCCAGAAGTGGATGAACAACTAGAAGTTTCTGCCAGAGTTTACAGCCGGTTAACACAAACAACAGCAAGAATCTTTTCAACTGAAATATACAGACAACAAAGTCTGTTGTTAAACAGCACAATGAAAGTCTTAGATTAACCAGTTGATCTTCCTTTAATCAATAGAAGACTTCCATTTTTCTGTGATAAATTACTTATTTTACGATACTGGGTTTACTGTATAAATGTATGATAATTTATTTTTTTTTTTCGGAATAAAAATAATTTATTTTTAAAATCAGGCTAAAAACAAGAAAGCCAAAGCAGAGGAAGATGCAGAGAAAGCTGGTAAGCTATTTCAGTTACACTCTAAGTATTATTTTTCATTTCAGAATTCAGTTGGCTGATATTTTTTGCACTGTCAAAGTCACCATGTTGCTAAATCCTTCTTCCTAGAAAATTGAGTTAGAACATCGAGATTTCTGTGAAAATTGTGTAGCTGTGTGAAAAATAACACTTTATTTTGATATATTTGGAGCAGCTGTTCATATATGTGCTTTTGTCATATTTATAGAATGACAAAGAACACCACTGAAAATGCACTATGGTGATAATCGCCAAAGTTGCAATGAGGTGAATACAGTGCAAGTTTTCATGTTTCTGTGTTTTCCATCTGCTATGCTTTTCTTAAGAAGTATTCTTACTGACTGTTTCACTCTGCTGTCGTTGATTTCTAGCAACATTACCTCTTTGGGTCCCAGGGGGTTTAGCATCAGAGGCCCAAGGGATAGTAATGCAATTTTGAAATATCACAAATGTTATACATTAAAACAGACCACACTAATTAAACTGCCACTCTACATAAACATATTATACATCAAAGGGACCAGGGATTGTTGTTGAATAATATTAGATTACTGCTACAAAAATAAATTGTATTAGAAGTTAATTATTAGTAAATAAACAGATTGTATGTTTAAAGAAATTAGTAAAATGAAATTATAATTTTCCCAATTAACACCATGGCACTCACTCCGTGACATTGTCAGCTAGACGCCAGCCTGCGAATCGGAAGGTCGTAGGTTTGCATCCTGACAGAGCCAGACTTTAAAAAAAAATATCTTGACTCCCAGGTCTACCCAGCCTTGAATGGGTACCAGTTGCAATCCTGGGAAGTAAAGGTGGCCGGTGTGATGCTGACCTCATCGCCCACCAAGTGCTGATTGGTCTGTGAAAATATACATCTAACCCTGTATTCCCAGTACACATAAAGGCGTGTAAAAGGGACCTTCACTTGACCTACCATGGCACTCAAGGAAAACTACAAGGTTTCTTGTTTGTTCAAAATTACAACGGCGAAACATTGCTGTGAATGTATTTATTGGTTGAAATAAACTTTCAGTGACTGACTAACTGATTGACTTTCTACCCCACCAGGACATCACACAAGCGATAAACACCCGATGACACAATGTGCCACCATGTGGGTGAGGATCACTGTGGAGAGGTCCCAGAAGCCACGTTCAGCCTTTAGGCCATATTTATGGCCAGGCTATATTGCGGCCCCTGGCAAGAGCAAGAGTAGGGCTTCAAATAAAGAAAAATTCCATCCTAAAAAGGACGGGAAATATATACCATAAACTTTCTGTGCTGACACAAATAACATCTCTGCTTCTGTATTCCATTAATGCTTGTTTAGACTCAGCTTATAAAAGTGCAGTTAAAGTTCTGGATGACTGTAGAGTCGCCTGGGAGAAAGAGATGGTTACAACCTGTAAGGTAGGTCACTTATTCTTGTCAACTCTTTATGGATGGGCGGTAAGAATTTGAGGCTCAGTATTTCCAGTCACTTGTAGTTAGTTGAAAAATAGATTCATGGCTGGTAACTCTTCATGAAGGGGCAGTAACTGTTTGAGGCTCAGTATTTCCTGCCCCTTGTATTTAGTTGAAAAATAGATTCATGGCTGGTAACTTTTAAAGATCTGTTGTGTTTTTGCATTTGTTCGTTGTTATGTTATTTGACCTATGTTTGGTTAATGTAAATTTATATAAGCAATGATGCTATATTAATGGTTAAAATAAATAAGTTTGGTTTCCCATGTAGGTTCTGGGGCCCCATTGTGCAGGAGAGGGGGGTGGGGGGGAGGGGGGTAGATCCACTGTACCCTAACAAGCATGTCATAATAGTCAACCAATTGCGGATGCTTCTTTCCAAGATGGAGTGCATCTTCCTGAGAGGCAAAAAACCAAAACCAACCATCTACTTACAATTAAACCAAATCTGTAAAATGAGTGTGCACATAAAGCTCAGGTTTTTGGAACAGAACTAAAATCCAGTAGTGAAGAAAACAACAGGAACTTTCCACTGGAGTTTACTGCCAGTGAAAATGAAGAACAAGAAGAAGACTGGCCAAACGGTTAGAACGCAGGGCTTTCATGCGGGAGACATGGGTACAAATCCTTGATAAGACTGGGGATTTTTTTCTGTCGGGGGCAAAAATAAATCCATACCAGCACAGTCTGTGGTGACAGCACTAACCATGCGGCCTTAAATCCTCTTGCTTACACCGCAAAAGTGGCATAATAAAGGCAGTAATTGATTGATGTGAATTGATGCGGTGCGGAAGAAGAAGAGATATCTGTGCTGTCTCCATGGTAAAGTTTGGCTACAGTGCACCTACTGTCATCTTTGGGAATATTGCGTGGTAAGGCCTCAATCTCATCCATGGTGTGACTCTCATGTAACTGTCTGAAAACTGACAACTTTTTTTTAACCACAGAAATTAAATTTTAGTACTTGGGGATCGTGAAACTGTTAAATGCACTCACTAACCTTTAAGCCATATTGCGGTACATTTTCAATTTTCTTGTCAATATACTATATCAGAATAAGAAAGAGCCAAACACTGTTCTATGGCCACATAAAGAGAAGGGGGACATTGGAGAACATCGTGACAACTTGAAAGACACATGAAACAAGAGACAGAGGCAGACCAAGAGAAATGATGCTGGATGGGCTGAAATGATGGAGGGAGAGCTGTTCCAGACAACCAGGGATTGGGATCTGTAGAGACGCATGAGCACCTGCGTCAGTTGGCAGGGCACATGATGATAATGATATACTATAGATGTGGGCTTAGATGTATGAAAGACCTGACTATTGATGACACTTTTCTGGGTGTCTAGTTAGCCATGTGTCAAAGCAGATTTCTAATCACAGCGAGCACTGTCATCATTCCGTGTGGAGAAATTCAGATCCATGTTAGGTAACTGTAACTTTTGACTATTGTATCTTCCTATCTTGAATTTCTTCTTCTGCTTCTATGAGTGCCTTCAAAGAAAAGACCCTTTACCACACCTTTAGGCATATTGGGCATATAACGCTAAAGCTAAAACCTATACTTTATAGACCAATCAGCACACAGTGGGTGATGTGGTCAACATCATCCAATCCACCTTTACTTGCCAGGACTTAACCTGGTACCTATTTAAGGCTGGGTCAACATGGAAGCCAAGTTCAGTTTTTGTAAAAGCTCTGGTTCCATTCAGATTTGAACCCATAATCTTCAGACACACATATTGAAGAATCTGTTCGCTACACCATGCTATTTCTTGTATTAAAATTGTTCTCAATGACTGATATTTCTCAGGTAGCTCAGAATGTTAACATAAGGCTGTGAATCATGGACAGTTAGTCAAAAGCTGTTGTTGTTTGTTTGTTTTTTTTTAAACCTTAAAGCCAGAAATATTTCACCAGGACAGCTTATCACAGACAGAGCAAGGAAACTTGTTTTTTTAAACAACTGAGAAACAAATGGCCTGTCAGTTAAGATAAAACATAAATGATGGTAATAGTAGAGAGAGAAAGGATAAAAACACCATGCACACACATGCAGATAATATGAAAATCAAAATAACAAAACATACAAGAATTTGAGCACAAGCTTCAGCTACCAAGAGAAAAAAAATTTTAATCTGGAAATAACTATGCCCTACAACCACTTCTAAAGTCAAATTCTCCAATTCGTAACAACATGGTCACAGTTCATAACACTCTGATAAGACCACTTGCCCTATGTGGCATTGAAACCTAAGAGTGATGAAGCCATATTACACACTTTGAGAGCAGTCTCATGGTGTATAATTAGACCCATCTGAGATGCAAACAGCAGAGAATGGAGAGTGCCCAGCACCAGTGAAACTCTCAATCTGGTGAAAACACCACTCATTACTGATATCGTGGTGGCTAATACACTGCAATGGCTGAAGCATGTAGAGAGATTGGCAGATAACATGGAGACAAAAATTACGTACTAAAGAGTGCTGAATGAGAGTAGACCATGAGGCAGACCAAGAAGACAGTGGAGATATAATATACAAGCAGACCTTCAAACACTTGGAGTCACCAACTGAAAAGAGAAGGTCAGTCACAGAGATGAATGGAAGTGGGTGATATCTGCAGCAGTGAACCTTAAAGATGCTAAAAGAAGGAGAGAAAGAATAAGAAAAGAAAAACTAGAACATATTGTAACTTTAAATGTGATTTTCTCATTTTAAAGTATAAATATATCTTCTGTTGACTAAAAGGCTAATATAGTTTCTTTACTTTCAAATTCAGAAAATATATGTACATTTTCAGTCTCTACAAGAGCTTGATCAAGAAAGGATACAGTTTTTAAGACATGAATTATGGTTGGCAGCCAACGTGGCATCCAAGATCGCATTAGATATAGATAATGTAAGTGTTGTAACTGTTATATCATCATCATGTAGCAGGTCATTTGCAGAATGTGGCTCTCATCACAGCCTGGCTGGAAGAAACTCAGTCTCTCACTAGTTCTCCCACCTCATGCACTTTCCTACTCAATGTGTCATTTATATCATATGCCCATCTTTATGCTGGTCATCCCCTGTCCCTCTTTCCTGGTACCATGCCGTTTGCTATTATTCTTTTTAGTCTGCTGTGATCAAAATATGGCCAAAATATTTCAGTTTTATATATATATATATAAATTTTTTGGGGGGGGGGGGGGGGGGGGGGGGGGCACTTAGTGTTTCTGAGATTTTTCACAGTTGTACATTTTTTCTCTTTAAGGTTTTTTTGTTTCTGAATTTACAGAAAACATTTATGGATTGATTTCTTGATACTAGCCTGACTGCAGTTACTCCTGTTTCTATCACTCTTGAAACTACCAACAATTCTCAGAAATTGCCATCAAGCAGCAAACCCATAGAGATATTCAGTCTTCTTTTTCTTCTGCCTTTTCTTTGCTTCTCCTTCTTCCTATTGACCAGGCGTAAACACTAGCAGAAAGTTCTGTTTTTTCCGTCCACTTCCAGACATTAGTCTTGTTCCAGAACTTGAGTTTTGCATGCACATCTGTTTTACAGATCTAACTTACGCATAAGCAGACTGTTGATTCCTCACCTCTCAGGCATGTGCACTCTGACTTTGAAGGAAATACCCCTTATTGGTCAACATTTACGACATGCTAGTTTGGGCTGCAGTTGATCTGTTTCCCCACCCCCAAAATGGGACCCAGAACCCACACGTGGAAAGAAGTTCAATAAGATATAAATATATTTTTGTTTAAAAGCTTCCTTTTTTTTCCCAAAAGAAAAAGTTTAAGACATTCTCTAAAATAATACTGTCAACAAAAACATTTATAAAGTATTAACCTGCACCAAAAGGTCAAGAATTTGATAATAAGAGTGGTTTTTGATATACAAATTGTGTTGTTAATTATATAGGAGGCCAGAAACTGAGTATTTATATAGCTCTGGCTTATCCTGCTTTGCTGTTATCCGGCCTACCCTTCTGCCACATTAGTTTGGATATTGCAGAGGCTACTGTACACATACACACGCACGCACGCACGCATGCACGCACCCACCCACCCACTCACTCACTCTCTCACTCACTCACTCACTCACTCACTCACTCACTCACTCACTCACTCACTCACTCACTCTCTCACTCACTCACTCTCTCACTCTCTCACACACTCACTCTCTCACATACTCACTCTCTCACACACTCACTCTCTCACACACTCACTCTCTCACTCACTCTCCCACTTACTCTCTCACTCACTCTCTCACTCACTCTCTCACTCACTCTCTCACTCACTCTCTCACTCACTCTCTCACTCACTCTCTCACTCACTCTCTCACTCACTCTCTCACTCACTCACTCACTCACTCTCTCTCTCTCTCTCTCTCTCTCTCTGTCTCTCTCTCTCTCTCTCTCTCTCTCTCTCTAAAAGCAAGGGACAAGTGTTATGAGATCAACACAGAATATCAAAGACATTCAAAGCATGCAAATCAGGGATGAGGGGGGAAGGTGGTGGGAGAGGGGGGGGATAGTGAAAAATAAAGATTCTTTTAATTAGTTTATGATGAAAAATATATTTACAAAGGTCTTAGTGTGTGATGATGATGGATGATATTGCTGATGCTTGTTCCCTTTCATTAAAATCGCTTACATGTTTGCTACCTGTTTATGCACACTGATCTCTTACATACATGTTAGCTGTTTATGCACACTGATCTCTTACATACATGTTAGCTGTTTATGCACACTTATCTCTTACATACATGTTAGCTGTTTATGCACACTTATATCTTACATACATGTTATATGTTTATGCACATTGATCTCTTACATACATGTTATATGTTTATGCACATTGATCTCTTACATACATGTTAGCTGTTTATGCACACTTATGTCTTACATACATGTTAGCTGTTTATGCACACTTTTATCTTACATACATGTTATATGTTTATGCACATTGATCTCTTACATACATGTTATATGTTTATGCACATTGATCTCTTACATACATGTTAGCTGTTTATGCACACTTATGTCTTACATACATGTTAGCTGTTTATGCACACTTTTATCTTACATACATGTTATATGTTTATGCACATTGATCTCTTACATACATGTTATATGTTTATGCACATTGATCTCTTACATACATGTTAGCTGTTTATGCACATTGATCTCTTACATACATGTTATATGTTTATGCACATTGATCTCTTACATACATATTATATGTTTATGCACACTGATCTCTTACATGCATGTTACCTGTTTATGCACATTGATCTCTTACATACATGTTAGCTGTTTATGCACATAATCTCTTACATACATGTTGCCTATTTCTATGCACATAATCTCTTACATACATGTTAGCTGTTTATGCACACAGAGCTCTTACTTACACATTCACTTTTTATGCACATTCTAATCTCCTACATGCCTGCTCCCTGCTTACACACATCAGTTCCTTACACTCAGTTCCCTGCCAGTTTGTGTTAAAACATCACTAATGAAACTTGTCTTTTTTCTGTTCTAATTTCTGATTTGTCTTGTACCATTCCAGAGCAGTGAATCTCTGAGAGAGCTTCTGGAGAAGTGTGATATTGTTTCAGACATCCAAGCTTTCATTGAGACAGCCAAGACAGGTCAACAGCGCCCGGGTTGGTGATCTGTTTATATATTGTGTGTGAGTGTGTGTGCATGCGTACATGTGGGTGAGTTGAATTAGAATATTCATATTTTGCCATCCATGTGTGGAGGCTTTTTAAATTGTCATCTTAGCATTAACCAGCTGTGAGCTCGGGCAGAAATTTCTGGTTGTTTGTCCACTTCTGGACTTTGGTCTTGTTGGGTTTTGCATGTACATCTATTCGACAGATCTGGTTTATTTGTATGCAGACTATTGGTTCCTTGCTTCTCATGCAAATACACTTGGACTTTAAAAGAAAAACCCGAATTAGTCATCTTTTTATAACATTCTGCAAGTGTGTCTTAGCCATCTGAACCTTTGTAGACTGAGCGTTGAGAAAACTGTTGTGATACCTGCCCTGTCCGATACCTCAATGTTTGTGATCTCATACCTGTTCTGTCCAGTACCTCAGTGTTTGTGATCTCATACCTGTTCTGTCCAATACCTCAGTGTTTGTGATCTCATACCTGCCCTGTCCGATACCTCAATGTTTGTGATCTCATACCTGTTCTGTCCAGACCTCAGTGTTTGTGATCTCATACCTGTTCTGTCCAATACCTCAGTGTTTGTGATCTCATATCTGCTCTGTCCAGTACCTCAGTGTTTGTGATCTCATACCTGCTCTGTCCAGTACCTCAGTGTTTGTGATCTTTTGCCTGCTCTTTCCAATACCTCAGTGTTTGTGATCTCATACCTGTTCTGTCCAGTACCTCAGTGTTTGTGATCTCATACCTGCTCTGTCCAATACCTCAGTGTTTGTGATCTCATACCTGTTGTGTCCAGTACCTCAGTGTTTGTGATCTCATACCTGTTTTGTCCAGTACCTCAGTGTTTGTGATCTCATACCTGTTCTGTCCAATACCTCAGTGTTTGTGATCTCATACCTGTTCTGTCCAGTACCTCAGTGTTTGTGATTTCATACCTGTTCTGTCCAGTACCTCAGTGTTTGTGATCTCATACCTGTTCTGTTTGATACCTCAGTGTTTGTGATCTCATACCTGTTCTGTCCGATACCTCAGTGTTTGTGATCTCATACCTGTTGTGTCCAGTACCTCAGTGTTTGTGATCTCATACCTGTTCTGTCCAGCACCTCAGTGTTTGCGATCTTGTACCTTCTCTTTCAGTACCTCAGTGTCTAAGATCTTGTCCTGCCACTTAATGTCAAGTACTTTCTTAGACATCACATGTGACAGCTATTAAGCCCATTTTCCTAGTACAAATAAGTTGTCCAAGTTTTACTGTCTTAAAGAAGAGTGCTTATAACACAAGTCTGACGGACAAATTTTCGTTTCAGTTTTGAGCTTTATGTTCTCCCAAACACATTTTATTAATCTGCTCATTGTTATTGCCAGTATAACATTTTAATACCATAATAGAGTAATTTCAAAGTCAGTTCAATATTTATGTTGTGACTTGTTCCTTGCCGGCATCTGTGGCTTAGGCGTTGCGAGTCCGACCTGTAATTCCAATGTACCGCGATCGAAATCCACTGCTGGCTGCATGGATTTTTATCATGGTATGGGGCGTTGCAGATCAACCCAGCCTTGAATGACTATCAGGATGTATGTCCTGGGAAAGTAAAGATGGCGGGCGTAATACCGACCGCATTACCCAGCTAGTGCCGATTGGTCTGTAAAAATATGGATGCTCTTCTCGTATGCATGAGGCGCCTAAAGGCGTGAAAGGGGATCTTTACTTTTTATTTTTATGACTTGTTCCTCACCGTTTTTATACTGATGAAAGCTAATCACCTCAGTGTTCTTCAGTTGTCTACTGAAAATGGTTCTGTAAAGCTTACTTATACTTTATGTTTCTCTAAGCTTTTCAGACAGTTTGTCTTTATAATTTTTATATTTGGTAGCAGTACAATCAGTACTTCTTATAAGTCTTACAAATAACTGTTTATTCTCCTCAGAACCATTTGTATTCAAACACTACACAAAAATACTGGCAGCTGGCGACACTGACAGTAATTGTAGTGACAGTGTCATCCATGTTTACAACACCGCTGAGGATGATGAAGAGCCATCTCCCACTGAAACAGCACCGACTTCATCAAACTTCAACATTAAAGCTGCACTAGGACGTCAGAAAATCCTCAAGAAGAAAGGGGCTGCAACATAATTACTGTTATTATGTTGACTTATAAAAGTATCAGCTTTTCGTGAACTGTTGATGTGATAACATTCCTGTTCAGCAAACTCATTATCATCATCATCATCATGTGCCACAAACTCATTATCATCATCATGTGCCCTGTTAATAAGCATAGGTGGTTATGTTTCACCACCTCACACAATCACCAGAACCACAGATCAGGTCAGTGTTCTTGTCTTGCGACATCCATATTGCCAAACCATGCAGGTATTTATGTTTTTGCCCCTATCTGACCCGGCCCTATACCATGAGATTTATCCACAGCTTTGGCAGGCAACATCTCTTGAGGGCAGTGTCTCACTGTTCGGTCATACGGTATAACAGCAAAGTCCAAGATGTGAATGACAAGGTTCAAATGTCTGCTGTCATTGACCCCCCCCCCCCCCCCCCCCCCACCCCTCATCTGAGTGGCAAGACCAAAATCTGATTGTCAAAAATCCTGCTGTTTTCAGACAAGTCTCAGATGTCTGACTTTAAATTGACCTACTGATTGACAGAAAGGTTCAAAGTTTCACTACCATTGGCCCTCACTTGTCAGTGTATTGGGACCAGTCATGGAAGCCATGCCTGATGCATTCTTGTTCCTGTACTGCCACACTAAGTATCATGATAAAACAACAGTCAGGGTGACTGGCATGCTGAAGAAGATCATGTCCATTTGTGTGGTCATCAAAGTCCTGGACTTGTCGGCTGCTCCTTGCTGATCTCCATAGGGTGCAGCCTGTAATAAGTGGGAAGGTCAGCATATGGATGTGAGATAAGGCAGTCATGTGATGATTTTTTGGGAGAGTCCAGAACCAGAGCTCTGCATTTATAGAAACCTTCTTGGATGGGCAGGAATGCCCATGATCTGCCATTGCCTATCCTTGAGAGGTGACCAGTCTACATGGGGTTGCCCTAGATGGGTTTTCCAGGGAACAACAATAGTAGATGAAGGGACAAAGACAAAGAGGACAACCACACAAATAAGGCTATGTCACAACTCATAAAAACTACCCAAAAAGGCTAACCCATGGAAAAATGTCTGATGAAGTCAGATGTGTTGGCCGAGAGGTGCAGATATCACAGCTATGCTGTAAACAGGAACAATGCAATTACATCATTTGGACGAACAAGATGAAGATATTAGTCTGTTCAGTGAGTGTAATGGATATATATATATTCTTGACTTTCTGCAGTATGTCTGTTGTGGATAAGACATAAAACGTGTCCACTTTCTACAGCCTGTATATAGTGGATATGCCATATACATATATATATATATATGTCCACTTTCTATGGACTGTAAACGGTCAATATGACATATTTATCTATCCACTTTCTACAGACTGTATATAATATATATGAGATACACCTGTTCACTTGCTACAGCCTGTACATAGTGGATATGATGGATACATCTGCCAACTTTCCACAGCCTGTATATAGTTAATATGATGGACATACTTGTCATTCATTCTTTTAATCAGCTGAACACAGTACCTTTTTTGGTTAATATGAGTTTAACTATGCCTGTACAACAAAAAATTGTTGTCATTTTGTGTTTCATCCATTGTAAACATAACATGACATTACATTCTTGTTCTTTCTGTTACAGTACATGCTGTGTTCATTTCACTGAGTTTTCTTGAGACTTTTACTCTTTCTTTCCGTCTTAAACAGCGCACTGTGCATGACTGGGTATTATTCCCATGTATGCCATTTAACATGTTTTTATCCCACATGGAATAAAACCCAGTGCAACAAAGCCCATCCTCTTGACGTACTAGCTTTTTTGTGTGTGCTAATGTATGATTAACTGCCCTTTGTATGTACTGATCATACTTTATGATTGGCTATTCATTTTGTGTACTAAAGTATGATTGGCTGTTCTTTATATGTACTAATCATAACTTATGAGTGGTTATTATTTAGGTGTACTAGTGTATAAACTTATGAGTGGTTATTATTTAGGTGTACTAGTGTATGATTAGCTGCCCTTTGTATTTACTGATCAAACCTTATGATTGGCTATTCATTTTGTGTACTAATGTATGATTGGCTGTTTTTTATATGTACTAATCATAACTTATGAGTGGTTATTATTTAGGTGTACTAGTGTATGATTGGCTGTTCTTTATATGTACTAATCATAACTTATGAGTGGTTATTATTTAGGTGTACTAGTGTATGATTGGCTGTTCTTTATGTTTACTAATCATAATTTGTGATTAGCTATTCTGTGTGTGTACTAATGCATGATTGGCTGTTCTGTTCTTTGTGTGTTCCTAGCATATAATTTTTGATTATCTATTCTTTTTGTGTGCCAGCCATGCCATTTGTGATTTTTAATGTGTAATATGGCTATTCTTTGTGCGGACTAGTCATATTATGTTCATATTCTGCCAGATTGTTCATTTCTTATGTGTACCTTACTTATCTTGTGTGATTAGCCATTCATTGTGTGTACCATTCATATCACGTGTGACTACACTTCTTATGTTTAAACCAAAGCACATTTAAAAAATCAGATAATGTATTTGTCTTTAACACTATGTGTATATTTGTGAAAGTTGAAATTTAATTGTAGAATTCTCATTGTAGAATTCTGTGGAATTCTGTGGCCAGAAATGCATATGATGATTATGGTTGAAAGCCACTCTGTGGAATTCAGTGGCCAGAAATGCACACTTCTTGGCTCAAAACAAATTACTAGAATTGGTCCCCATGTGGGTTTCGGGGTCCTATAGTGGGAAAAACATAAATAGACCCACTGCCGCAAGAGTCTACTTCTTCTTCTTCTTCTTCTGCGTTCGATATCAGTCATGCTAAACATTGAGTCCCGTCTGGGTCACAAATAGGATTGTGCGTTTAAGGTCGCCACCGGTCCCCCATAGCTTCTCTTGCAATGTGGCTCCTTTGGGCCAGATCCACAGTCTTTGCTGGGAGAGGTAAGGGCAGAACTGCAGTATGTGTTCAGGTGTTTGTCTTTCTGCTCCACAATCACAGGCAGCAGATTCTTTTATGCCTATCCTGTACAAGTGTGCTCAAAGACCACAGTGTCCAGTCCGAAGTCTAAGAATTGATGTTTGTTCTTTCCTGTTGAGTTTGTTTATGCTGTCACTCTCTGGTCTGTAATCTCCATTCTGCCTTCTCCACTCCCGCTTGAAAGACTGCTTTAGCGCTGTTTTGGTTTCCTTGTAGCTGTGTGGTGGATGAGGTTGTGGAAGATTACTCCCAGGTTTTGCCAACTTATCTGCTCTCTCATTTCATTGAATACCACAGTGGGCTGGTATCCACTGCAAGACCAGTTCTGCTTCCTTGGAGAGTAAGCCAATGTTGGTCCTTAGATCAGCAATTATTTTGTCTTGTTTTTTGCTGGATAGTGCTTGGAGAACAGACAATGAGTCGCTAAGTATAACAATTTGGTGCCCTCTGTGTTCTTGAGTGATGAGATGTTGGACTGCAGAGAGGAGGGCAGTTGCCTCAGCTCTGAAGTTAGTGCAGATGTCACCTGCTGGTAGAGAGAGAGTTTCTGCTCTACTGCTAGGGGGTTTAATGTAAATTCCACAACCCCCCTTTCTGACTGCATCTGTAGCAGAGTCCAAGTGGTGTTTGGATACTTCTCATCAAGCATAGCAAGAGCCAGGGTTCTCTGTTGTGTCTCCGTCTGGGCATCTTTTGAAGTGATTCCTGGTACCTTTAGGACTACATTTGCTTTCTCTGGCTTGCTTGTCCATGGTTCTGGTCTAAGTTTTTCGCACAGTGCAATATCTCTTTCAAGCAGATTTTGGTGCTGTCTGTACAGTTCTCTAGCAAGGTGGTTGGGGCTCTGACGCTTCAGTCTGTTTTTTGTTCTCTCTTGAAATTTAAAATGCAGTGGGTGACTTTGAAGTCTTTTTAATTTCTCATACTGTAAAAGAGTTTTGTATTGTCTTCTGAGTTCGAGTGGTTCAGTATCTGCTATCTTTTCTATTTCTCTGATGGGGGTGGTTTTCTTGGCTCCGAGAACAAACCTTAATCTCATATTCTGAACCTTGTCCAGTTTTCCCATTGTTGTCTTGGCTGCTGCAGCCCATGCAGTGGAGGCATATTCCATGACTGGCCTGACTGCTCCAGTATATACTTGTTTTAGGATTCTAGAGTTAGCGCCCCATGTGGTACCCGCTAATTTTTTCATAACTGCAAGCTTCTTGAATGCTTTTCCCTGTACTGCTTCTACATGTGACTTCCAAGTTAGTCGCGAATCAAGTGTAACGCCCAGAAAGGTAGGAGTGTCAGTCTGTGGAATGAGCTGGTTTTTAATCCAAATTTAGATTTTTTCTTTTTTGGGGGAGAGAGAGAAAAGTGATGCTGTGCTTTTTGATTTATTTAGCTTTAGACCCCACTTTTCGGTCCAGGCTTCTACATTTTCCACAGTTTTTTGTAACAGATATGAGGCTGTGGTAGTGTTTTCGGAGGCTGTCCAAACTGCAAAGTCATCTGCATGTAGGGTATTAAAAACGTGCTGGTGGCAGGTTGCTGTGATATCATTAATGTAAACCAGGAACAGAGTTGGTGATATAGCACTGCCCTGGGGAACTCCTTCTCTAAGTTTTGCCAGTTTGCCAATGTGTCCATCAATTCTGAATCTGGCTCTGCGTTGGAAAAGAAAGTCTTTGATCCACTTGTACATGTTGTGCACAACTCCTGCCTGTAGCAGTTTTAGTTGTAGGCCTTCTTTCCAAACTGTATCAAAAGCACGAGAGAGGTCAAAAAAGACAGCAAGAACTTTCTTTTTTTTCCTGGAAGGCATTCTCAATTTCCTGTGTCAGATATGTCAACTGGTCCTCTGTATTTCTGTGCTGTCTGTATCCTGTCTGGGTGGTGGTGATTACTGAGTTTGTCTCCAGGAACCATATTAGTCTTTTATTTACTAATTTCTCCATCAATTTTCCTACACAACTAAGAAGGCTAATAGGTCTGTAGCTTTTTGTGTCTCTTCTGTC